TTAAAATTAATTAATTAAATTATAATTATAATTATTAAAGTTAATATGAGATGGCGCCTAACGTCTATCTCTAGTGCCAAATTGGTTTATAATTTATGTAATAGCCGTAAATAGCCCGATATCATTCGGCAGTTGTTGATATTTAGACGCAAGTTAAGTTATTTTATTTGCAATCGATCTTTTTAAGAGGTTTGTGACTTTGGAACAGTATGATGAGTAAAAAAGGTCTTCAGTTTGGATTTACTTTGAAGAAAATGACGAAGATTCGCGTAATGTGCAGTGCAAAGTATGTGATACAAAAATTTCTCGTGGAGGTAAGGAGAAAAAAGCTTTGATGTCGGGTTTGACAAATCATTTAAAGAACAAACACAAGGAGGAGTATCAGAAAATACATAAATCTATCTCAACGAAAGAAAACACAGCAGATGTCGTCGTTCTCTGTTCAAGTAAGTCCACGAAGCAATTAACCCTTTACAACTGCCAAGAAAAAACAAAAAAGTGGGATATAAATGACCTTCAGGCTGTGAAATACCATTATCTGATTGCCGAAATGATAGTGATTGATAATGAACCACTGAACATAGTTGAAAGATCTGAGGCCGTATTCTGGTCACTGTGTCTCTGGTCTCTCATAAGCCAGTCACTGATTGGCTAATCATTTGGATTAGCCAATCAGTGACCGGCTTGCGAGAGACAAGAGACCAGAGACAATGACCAGAATATGGCCCCTGGTTTTAAAAGATTGTTAAATGAGATCCTGCCGAGATATGCCATACCGAGTAGACCGTACTTTTCAGAGAAAATAATTCCTGAACTTTATGGAAAAGTAGTAACAAAGATTAAAAAAAAGCTTGAAGACACAGATTATATATCAATCACTACCGACTTGTGGACGTGCTTGCAAAACTCTGTCAGTTTCCTCAATTTCACTGCACACTGGCTTGACAGCGATTTTAACTTGATACATGCTGCACTTAATGTAAAACACTTTGAAGGGCAACATACTGTGCAAAATATAGCAAATGCTCTGCAAGAAATACTGAGCCGGTGGGAATGCCCTTTATCAAAAATTCACGTCATTGTTCATGACAATGGACGCAATATTGTTAAGGCTGTCAGTGAGGCTAAAATGAATTCTGCATGTTGCTTCATACATACACTACAGTTAGTAATCAAAGACTCTCTCAAAATTCAACCTGAGATCGGAGAAACTATTGCTGTGGGACGAAAAATAGTAACCCACTTTAATCATTCAAGTACTGCATAAGAAAAACTGAAAAAAATTCAGGAAGACTGGGAATAGCCAAGCATAATTTAGTGCAAGATATAACAACACGGTGGAATTCTACCTTTTATATGCTAGAAAGGCTTCTTGAACAAAAACGAGCTATTTCCCTCTATCTAACTGATACAGTAAACATATCTAATCTGACTGCAGAGCAGTGGGAGATTGTAGACCAATTACTGAAATTATTAAAGCCATTTGAAGAGATAACAAAAATTACTAGCTCAAACTATTCATGCTTATCTGAAATTATTCCCCATGTTGTTACTCTTAACCGCTACTGCAACAAGGCCGTGTCTTCTGACCTAGCACCTAAATTAAAGTTTATGGCGATCGCCATGCAACAAGGGATAAAACAACGTTTTTCACAGACTGACGATAATAAAAACTACCTGATATCAACTTTGTTAGATCCAAGGATTAAGACGAATTTCTTCACAAACCAACTGCAAAAAGAAAGAGCCCGGCAGTACATTCTGGTTGAAGATTTAGTTTCAGACTATGATACCAGCAGCGATGAAAGCGTGCATTCTTCTCCCGTGCAATATAAACGTAAAAGAACCGATGAGCCTGGACAAAGCATTCGCACATCTTTCTGGGAGTGCTATGATGAAGTAGTTGCTGAGAACTTTACCGATGATGACAACGGAGTCGGAATAGCTTCTACTTCAAAGAACATCATAGCAGGTGACCTTGATAAGTACTTAAGCATGAAAACTTTAAAGAGAAACGACGATCCATTTGCCTGGTGGGTTACACATAAATCTGTTTAGTCAAACTGGCTGCTAAGTACTTATCAGCTCCTGCAAGCAGCATGCATTCAGAGAGGCTTTTTAGTGAAACAGGAAATGTATATGAAGAAAAGAGGAACAGACTTCTTCCCAAAAATTCAGAAAAGTTGATTTTTCTGCACCATAACCTACCCCTTATTGACTTCAGTTATAATAAATAATTTTGTACAATGAAACAAAAAAGTTAATTTAATTTTCAAGTTTATAATAAAGGATGGTTTCATAAAATTACAGATCATTAATTATTATTTTTTCACATTTTATGACCTAAGTTTCAATCTACTGTGCCCATGCAGTAAAAGTTTTCATACAAATTTTTTACTCTTTTTCACTCCTTTAGGGTTTAATTTTGTAAAATCTTTTCTTAGTACGTCTACACTTTACAAAAGGAACACACCCTCAAATTTTTAAGATTCTAGCACCAGTAGTTTTGGCTCTGCATTAATATATATACCCGTATATAAAAGAACTTTTCTTTTATATACGGGTATATAGATGACTAAACTATATAATAAGTAGGTAGTTTTCATTTGATTTGTTACCCTTTTTTGATCTCTTAAAAAAATAACTTAGTTATATTACTTTTCCTTTGATCTTTTACATAAATAAGCAAAAAATTGCACTTTCTTGATCTTGAAATGTATGTTCAGCATTGATAAAAGTTACCAAAATGATTAATTTACTGTGTTTTCTTACTCCTGTTTTTAGGTATTTGGTATTTGGCCAAATACCGAATAGTGGCCGAATATTCGTTACATCACTAAAATATATATTAAATTTATTTATTGTCAAATGTATAGATTTACAATAAACTAAAAATATTCAACACTAATTTAAAAATTAAAGCCAAATGAACAGTCAAATTATTGGGCTGTATTAAGGCTAATTTTAATTTTTGAATTTATCCTTAATGTAGCCTGATAATCCAACAGTTTGGCATTAATTAAAATTTAGTTTAAATTAGTTTAAAAAAAAAATATTTTATAAAAATGATACCTAAGAGATGTAATGAAAATAGATTAGTTTAAAAAAATCTTATATTGCTTACCCTGACCAAAATAAAGTAGATTTTGGACTTAATGGTACTGGAATAGGATTTAGAAATAATTGTTTCTTATCATTGACTTTAAATATTATCATCATTAGATTCTGATCTCCTGGTACACCTTAAAAATATTGTCAATATGTAAATATTTAACTAAAAATGATTTTCTAGATTTAGATATTTAAACAATTATTTTCTTACCATATCCTTGATGATATATTACAGATAAAGTTTTCTCATAAGCAGTAATACAAACTACAGGACCAGGTATATTGAATATTTCTAATTGAATTCCTCCAATAGAAAAAATGCGAATTAATCGCATATCTGTTGCAACAGCTAACCAACCAGAACCAATTGTAATAGCCTACAAATATTTAAATAATATGCAATAATTTTACAGTATATAGGCTGTGTGGAACAATCTCTACATGAAGATTTTCTACATTTTAAACACATTTGTAAACAGTTACTTTATAATATATAATCATTTGTTTTTATTTATGTTAAATTTTTATCATATATATTGATTGTTATCCTTTTTTTATTTATATTTTAATCTTTTGTTATAGGAGTTATTTTTGGGGAGGATATCAATTGTCTTCTGACATTTCCTTCTGTATATGCAATAAATAAATAAATAAACTTTAATGAAAAAATGACCATAATCAAACCATCTTCAGTTTTCATTAATACTTTTACACAAACTTCTTTAAGTTCTTACATATAAATATTCAAACATCAATCCTCTATAAAGTTCATTATTTCAACCTTTTTTTTTGAACCACTCAAAATAAAAAAATTTCACAAATATAAATATTTATATAAAAGATTAATATTTTAAAAATACTAATATCTATAAAAGTTATGAAGCATTATGGTAATACTAAAAATAATTATATTATTAATTTTTATCTGTAATTTATATATTTAGTACCTTATATGATAAATAATATTTGCACAATAATGACAACATATAAAATGAAAGATCAGCTGTAAAACCATATCCAACAGAAAGTTTATCTTTAAATCAATCATTACAAAAATAGTTTATAAATCTTCAAGTATAAATCTAGGACATTAATGTGCTATTCTCTCAGAGTTCAATTATTAATGCATTCACTGATTAGGAAGAATGATAATCTAGTATTAAGTGGACAAAATAAAACTTTCAGTCTTTTACAATTTATTTCTAATACAGCAGAACAGTGTTTTTCTACAAAGCCATACATGGGGGTGGCGGGTAAAAGAAAAAGACAAGCGTTTGTAGGTCCTACACTACAATAAAAACTACAATTTCAGTGAGAAAGCTGTGCCTGTTTATTTTACAGTACAATTAGTTCTTTGATCGATATTTAAATCTCAACAGAAAGAAAATTAAATACATACCAGTAGTTTTTAAAATCACTGACATAGTTTTAATATGGCCATGGGGGTCGCCAGAATTTTTTAATTTGAAAAGGGGTCGCATATTCAAGAAGGTTGAAAAACACTGCAGTAGAATGTCAACTGTCCAAAAATCAATTAATCAAAATTGACTTCAGAGAGTACTGTACTAATTCCAGAAGTTATGAAGTTTTTACATAACATAATTATGACTGTCAGAGATCTTCTATACTAACTATTCTAACTATCAACACTAGTAATGATATTTCAATAGTGGTCCTATAGAAAGTTTTAATTATTTATTTAGTTAAACATAAGCATAAGATTGCTTAACAGAACTAATCACACAGGAACACAGATATGCTATATAAAATTCACTGATTTTGAAGGATATGCATTTTGGATCATATGTCCCTCATCAGTTCTTTCTTTATTCAACATCAATCTGGTTAAAAACATTACAAATTTTAGGTTAAAATTATGAGTGTACTGTACGTNTGTGTTTAATCCATTAATATAATTTTTCAGCATTTTTAAGAAAATTGTAAGAAATTTTATTTTCACTTATTTATAATTAAAGACTTAAATTCATTCGAAAGTTTAATTCAGTTTCAATTCTAGTTTTAAATATCACTAGTGAAAAGAACTTTTTTACTAACTGAAAAGTTCTTAATTAAGACGATTCAAAATGGTATTAACTGAACACATTGAAAAGATTTACCATGGGAAAAAATTTCTTTAATGAAGAACAACTTGCATTTATGTAATTTAAACTTGTAGATTAAGCTAGAGATCATGGTTTCTAACAGATGATGTAAGCATAATAGAAGGTTAAATATTTTAATTTTTAATAATATAAAAGCAAGTTTATGAAAAAGCATAATTTTGACTTTAAATATGATTTAATAGATTTTAGGTAAATAAATAAAGTTAATATTTACATAAATTATAAAGTCCCAAGGATTAATTTACTTACTGAAATAATTATGACCATACAAATAATTTTGGGTCATTTTAAAGTCTTTATTTTTTTCAAATAATGTTAAATCAATATAAATTATTTTATTTTAGGTTTGGAATCACATTTGTTAGAGACAGTTGTAAGAAAAGAACATTCAGATTTGGAAGATAAAAAAAGAAAAATAAACAGTAATGTTATTAGTGGAAGACAAAAGCTGAAAGATTTGAGTGATGAAATTTTACAGTAAGTTTTAAAATTTAATAATTACAATTCTTTTATAAATAAAATTGATATTTATCCTCATTATTGATTATAATTATATAATTAAACAAATTTCAAATAAAACTAAACTTTTAAAATTTAATGATTTTGCTATTAATTAAATGTACTATAACTGTTTTTAGATGCTCTCTATTGCCCAATATCAGTTACTGAAAAAACTGTTGTTTTCTCAAAATATAAAAATAAGTACAGTATTCTGTTATGTTGTGCATTAGTCTTGAATTCAATATGAGAATAATTAATAGAGAATAAAATATTAGTCAATTTTTTCTTATTTATTTTTAATAAAACCATTTTATTTTTAATATAAATAAATTGTAGAAGAGATATGCAAGTAACAATAGTTGAAATTAAATTCAGTGTAATGATAAAAGGATTGAAAATAAAAGCAATAACATTCAATTGGTATGGATTAAACTAAGCAACTTTCTGTATACAGGGTGTATCAGAATGACGTTTTAAAAGTTTGGAGGATTGTAGAAGATGAAATTTTGAACATTTTGATATAAGGAACCTATAGCCAGAAATTTGAACTAAAGTGTCTACAGCAATAGGAAGTGCTTGACCGCCCTTCACTTTGGTAGCTACCCTTCTGTCCATTGACATCATATTATTGCTGTGGATGGAAGACTGTAAACACACAACTACAGTGGTTTAACTGAGCCTGTGTACAGGATGTGAGGACCCGAACAGGGGTCGATTGAGAGGTCCGAATGAGGGGTATCGATCGAAAATAAAAAGCTCCTTTTCAGACGCTAAGGAAACGGATTAGGTGTCTCGATTGAACAATGCAATTGTTTTTTTTTTTTTCGTGAATTTGTTAAACAATGGAAACGGATAAATTCGAGGAAAACGCGACGAGAGAGAGGAATCATATTCAGTCGCAACGTTGACCTCTCCCGCGCCCTTCATTAGGTTTCGAATTGTCACCAGGTGACTATGAGAGACCAATGGAGAGGCGACGACGGTTAAGAAATCTATAAAACCGTGCGACTCAAGGGACAAAGGTTCTTGGTTCTTAGTTCTTGGTTCTTGGTGCTCCTCTCCAGGATTTTTGTGATCCTACGTATCAACAGCGACCGATTTGTCAACTCCTGTGACTTACTGTCGCTCTCCCGTGACATCGTAATTTACACGGATTTTCCTTTCACCAGAGACTTTCACCGAAGCTGTGCCGCACACCCCGGTCTCAACGTCGATCTCAACGTACAACATTGAAGGACCAAACGGAGAAAGTCGGACCCTTGAAGGAACTTTTAATTTGCTCCCCGAGCTGTGTTACGTTGAAAATTTGAAGAACGTTGTAAGAATCTTTTGTTATATAATAAACGGGTTAAAAATGGTAAACCTGTCTCAGAAAGTCATTCTGCGCCCACACGACAGAAAAAACCGCTCGGCTGTCGAAAAACCCTCACCCTAATCGGCTGACCTCACAAGGACGTTGTGTACTTAGTGCTTGTCATCCTTCAGGTCATCCCTTGCATTCACTGGTGCTGTGCTGTAAACACACAACTAGTCAATGTGAGTCCCTTGTATAAACAACATCTGTAGGACACATTCATGAGCTTACGGAGCACATCTTTACAGCATTTAATACCATCAGAGGGGAGCTGGCATCTTACAGAGAGTTGGACAAAACATGGTTCATCATTGCACGTTATGTAAGGAAGTTGTTGGTCGTCACATTGAACATTTACTCTAAAGTAGTTCAGCCACTGATTCGATGTACAGTTTGATTGTACTCTACTGTTTTATCAATAAAACTTGTCATAAATACTGTATTCTGCTGTTTCATTCAGCATACTGACTGCAAAGTGCTGTAGAAACTTTATATCACATTTCTGGCTATGGGTTCCTTATATCAAAACATTCAAAATTTCATCCTCTATGATCCCCCAAATTTTTAAAACGTCATTCTGATACACCCTGTATAACAAAAGAAGGCAATTAAATAACTACCCAATTTTTTATTTTGTTTAAAATAAAAGTTTATATGAAATTAAAATTATATATAATTTTCAAAAACCCTTGATTATAAGCATTTTCAGTTTTATTTAAATTTTTAATTCAAAAGAACAAATTTTGTTATATTGGATTTATATATTCTGCCACAAAGATGTTTGCTTGAGTGAGTATTTTTGGCTGTCCTAGGTTCAGATCTTTATTTTTTAAGGACAAGTTTTTTATTTTTTTTTCTAAATTTTATTTTTGCAGGAAAGGTAAATTACATTTGTTTTACTACTGAATTATTTATTTTTGCATTTGTTTTACTAATTTACTTATTAAATAAGTAAATTGTAAATACATATTTCTATGAGCTTTAATTCTCTTGATATTGTATTGTCATGTGGATAGAATAAGTAATGACACAAAAACATGGTAAGATACATGGTTTCTTTCCTTAGAATAGCTAATGTTAGTGGTAATGAATAGCTGAATATATATACATTGGCTATATTTGACAAACATGTTATTGCAGTTCTCCTTGAAACATTAGGCCGCGTTTCTTTATGCAGCGCTCGAGAAGCGCTTTACAGCGAACTCTCTGAAACCCATTTCTAAATGCAGCGCTGCAATGTAGCGAACCGTTTCTAAACGTTTGCTGCAAGAGGTCGCTGCAGCGAAGATAAAGCAGCTTTTACGTTCGCTACACGTTTAAAGCAAAATGGACGCTTGCATGTATAATGTGGTATTAACCAGCAGCGATAACAAAAAAGTCGAGGNGGTCGGACCGAATAAAATAAAATTAAATAAAGAAGCTCAAATTAAATTAAATATCTTTATTAAAGTTAAACAAAGAAAAACTTCATTTTTCGAAATTTTACGAAAAAGGATATATACATTTCCTTCCCACGGAGCCGTTTCCTATCTCTCGGGAAACCGAAAAATGATTCACGAGGAACTTATCCTAAAAATCGGCGATTGGTGAAACCCAGTAACGTGACAAAAGGGATAAAAGAGGGGTGATGACGAGAAAAGGAGGTCCGTCGTCGCTGTCCGTGAACACGGTCCATCATCACCGTTCATGATCGGGGAAACCCCGTGCCGATCCTCATCGCCGCCGTCCGTTCCTCAAGACAACTTGTCCAATCCGGTTAGAAAACGTCCGATCCGAAATCGTAGAGGTATGATACCCATTAATGTACACTCTCTCTTGGCGCATTTCCCTCCACTCCCGCGTGTCCGCTCGAGATAAGCTCAATGTATTTATGTTAGTTATGTTACCGTCTCAATAAATGTTGTTTTGTTGTTAAAAGTCGTCTTTATTTCGAGTATCGCTCACACTTTACCGACGACCCCTCTCACCTCCTCCACTCGACCTGACAAAAGAATCCCGACTTTACAGGATAGAAAAAGCATTTTCTAAGCCATCCACTGACCAGTGGGCAGTTCTCACCGAACTGTTGCCTATCAAAAAGAGGTACGACCTCGTCCTACCTCAGGCTACCCACATATGTTACCAGTTTTCCCGCTGTAATGAATTTAGTAAAAAGTAAAACAACAAATCAGATAACAGATTCTCATCTCAAAAATAATTTAAAATAGCAGTGACTAATATTCAGCTGAATATTTCGGATATATTATGTTTACATCAGTTTCAGAAATCACATTAAATAAGCCTATGTTAATTTGTAATCATATATGAATAAATAATAGTAATTTACCCACATTTGATTTTTCTTTTTTCTCGTGTGTGGCCAGTGTCAATTCAAAAGTTTTAAATGTGGTCATTATGTAAAAAATAGTTGCCCATCCCTGAACAAAATTATGAAATGAGTATACTCAATCCCTATGATGGACAATAAATTTAAAAGAAGATTATTACATACTAGTTTAATGAATAGATCATTAACTCAAAGATTAAAAGAACATCACTATGATCTAAAAATATATTCATTATAGTCCTTGCCCAATATATCAGTCAGTCTCGGATATTACCACTATAGGATAAGGCCAAAATTATAAAAGGAATTTAAGATAACTGGAAGTTAAGAACCTGGAAATGCTTAAAATATTTTGTGCTAAAACTAAAAGAGAATATATTAATAACAAAGAGAATAAGACATTGCTTCCAGCCTGGCAATCTCTATTTGAAAATCCCCCAAAGTGTGGCAACATAGCAGTTATCCCAAAAACAGCTGATTATATGAGTACACATAAGTTATAGAGCACTAGATGCACAATATTATTTGTTCTAGTCATGTTTGATATCATGTGTATTTTATTTAGTTTCATTTTATTTCCTTGTAATTTTTAAATGTTGTTTTTGAATTCTCTGTACAATGATAATGTTAATTATTTTTTTATTTCATTTTATTTTATTGTGTTTTAATTTTAGAACATTAGAGTTTAAAATCATCATTGTAAATGATAGAACATTACAGTTTGTACACTCAGTTTTTTGTCTTGTTCAAAAACCTGAAGCAGGCTCCTGAATGGAGCCAAAAACATTTGTATTGTAATAGAATTTTGTTAGAAATGTAAGGAAGATGGTCTCTTGTTTGTTATAAGAAGGTTTCAGCTTTTGAGAAGTCTTTACTTGGAATATGGCTATGTTGGTCAAACTATAGAAAAAACATGTTAGCCCCAACTGGGGTGAGAGAGAAACTGGGTTTCCTTATGAAGTGTAAGATCAATGGCCCACCAGTGGCCAGGTGGATAAAACCACTAAATGCTCGTAGTTGGTCATGGGTTTGTGCCTTGCCAGCAGGCTGATCACATGGAGTTTTCCAGGTTTTCTTCACATTATAGGGACCAGTTTCCCTTAAAAGACCTGCTGGGAGGCATTCCCCCTTCAGCAGATTGTCCTTATGTTGTGTTGCCATAACCAAATAAACTGTAAACTCAATGAAGTCTATCCAATGTCAATTCATAGAATATGGCTACCAAATGTCTTGCTTCCCAAGCTGTGTTTTTACTTTGAATTAAAAGTTTCATCAGTACATTGTAGACTTCAATGAAAGACTAGTACTTATTATTAATAAATTAGGCAATTTTTCCTGTTATTCCTTATCATTTGTATGTGTTAAATTTCTATGTCTTAACTTTTTCAATTATTGTTCTAAAATTAAAATTAATATTTTTTACTTTATTTAAACTATTTATCATTTTATTATTTCCATATCAAATGTAATTGGTTATTTGAAATTTTTCTGCCCTGATTATTATGAATAATTGATATTCTGCTGCAGATGGAATCAAAAATTAAAGAATGAAATAAAAATGAAATAAACTTTTAATTAAGTACTAGTTTCTTTTCAAATTTATTGATTTAGTCTAATAGTTCAGTCAGATATACATATAATAATTTGTATTATAATATCAGTTTAGATCTATATAAAACATAAAGTTATTAATAAAAAACAACTAGTGTTAATATCTATTAAAAACTAAATTAATGTAATGAAATATGATTCATAATTTTTGATTAATCTTTGCTTACCTCAATATTTTCATCCTTAGGCATTTCTGAACTCCACTCTTTATTAGAATCCCAAGAATCAAAGTTCATACAAACAATTTGGCTAAAGCAATTAAAAATATTTAAAGTAACTTTTGTGTTCAAAAATACAGTAGAGCCTTGATTATCCGACCCCCTATTAACCGACACCTCGCTTAACCGACCGTCCTAGTTGGCAAATTCAAATGTCCGCTAGTGATGTGGTGCTACAATATTTGGCTATGTCTTGGCTACTTTAATATTATTTTTACGTTTATTTACTATTGAACACAAGACTGTGTTATTATTAAAACACTTGGCGTTTATCCACTTTATTCAGTTGATACGGGCACTTTTACACATTTCGGGCGTATAGCCCCTCATCAGTCAACTGATAAGAAGAAACATTTACATTAGATTATTACATTTTGTAAAAATTATATAACGATTCTAAAACATGTAACTTTTAAGACATACCATTAAAAATTCAATGACACTCGTACAGCACAAGTTATTATTCACTGCTGTTAGGATAAGTTGATAACATTGATAACATAAACCTACATACATTAAATTAAAAAATAAAACGCTGTATAATTATACATGCTTATACTGATAACGCACAGAACTATACTAATTTTTGTTTACTATTGTTTCTTACTGTTAAGTAGCTGTGACACATCTTTTATCTTCTTACTAAAGTTAATAAATATATAGGCAGAATCCTTCCTAATGATTAATGAATAAATTTGTTGGTTTCTGTATAGTTCTGTGCGTTATCAGTATAAGCATGTATAATTATACAGCGTTTTATTTTTTAATTTAATGTATGTAGGTTTATGTTATCAATGTTATCAACTTATCCTAACAGCAGTGAATAATAACTTGTGCTGTACGAGTGTCATTGAATTTTTAATGGTATGTCTTAAAAGTTACATGTTTTAGAATCGTTATATAATTTTTACAAAATGTAATAATCTAATGTAAATGTTTCTTCTTATCAGTTGACTGATGAGGGGCTATACGCCCGAAACGTGTAAAAGTGCCCGTATCAACTGAATAAAGTGGATAAACGCCAAGTGTTTTAATAATAACACAGTCTTGTGTTCAATAGTAAATAAA